AAAGAGGATGCCCTGCTTGGATCTGCGCAGGACTCCGCCCCGCTGACCTTCCACAAGGGCTCACACAGAAGTGCGGACCATTGCGAAGCTGGCAGCGCTCAGGGAGGCGCGGTTTTGCTTGGTTGTGCTTGGGGCACCGCCCCGCTGGGCGCCCCTTTGGCTGACAGGACTCCGCCGCCGTGCCCTGGAGGCAAGAATTGGAGTATCCTCAGGTCCCTCGTTCGATCCCTTGGAGCCCCAGTCCTAAATCCTGAGGATTCTAAGAAAGGGCCCCGGACCAAGAATGGCCAAATCTCTTGAAGCGCGCCGCGTGGCCCCTGGGGCGCGTCGAGTCTTGTCGCAAGACGTTTTTCGGAGCCAAGAAAGCCCCACGAGGCCTCCAAGACGATCGAAGCGGACCCCAGATCGCCGATCAGTCGGTCCAAGACGCCCAAGATGGCCTCCAATCGGCCTGAAAAGTGATCAAGACGTCCCAAGAGGCCTCCAAGAGTCATCCCAAAAGGGCCCCGAGAACCAAAGAACGGTGATTACCCACAGGATGTTCAATGTTTTGGGGGTTCTCGCCTTTCTGGCTTCCCGACGCTCCAAGGCAGTTCAGGAAGCCCCCAAGATCGTCCCAAGACGGCCCAAGAGGCCTCCAAGAGGACCCCAACACGGTCCCGGAGGGCCCCAAGACGGCCCAAGAGGCCTCCAAGACGACCCGAGAGGCCTCCAAGACAGCTCCAGGAGGGAGCCCAGACGAGGGACCCGAAAGGACATGTCGAGCCATCGGCCCCGAAAGGCCCTCAGGAGGCTCCCAGAGGCCCCGAGAGGCTCCAAAGAGGCTCCCAAGAGACCCCCCAGGGGCTCATGAGACGTGCCGACAGCTGGGCGGCTGGCAGCGCCCAGGGAGGCGCGACCTCATCTGGACCTGCGTGGGACACCACTCCGCTGCACCTTCCAGGGATGGCCAGAGGATCGATGTTCTGCCCGTCGCTCCCCTCCTCTTTTCTCCTCGTCCGACTTCTCGTCCTTCCTCATCGATCGCTCATCCTCCCTCTTCTTGGGAAAATGCGAAGGCAAGGTCCGGGCGTTGCAAGCGGTGTCCCTGGCCCATGGTGCCCCCAGCTTTTCGCACCATGGAGCCCCTGAGGGCCCTCTGGGCCTCGCGAGCAAGGAGCCCAAAGAGGACGCACATGCCCAGCCACGCGCGCGAGGCCACCCTCATGTCACGAACGCTGGCGCGATGCGCTCTCTAATCTAAGCCCATGTGGATGCAAGTACGGGTGCACGAGAGTGTGCCGAAAGTTGCGCGGCTGGCAGTGCCCAGGGAGGCGCGGTAGGAGGGAGGATGCAGGAGGGGAAATGAGGCGAGGAGGCGGAGGTGGCGAGGAGCAGCGCATTATTCAAAACGAAGACTCCAACTAAAGAGGGCTGGGGAGGGGGAATTGGATACGGCCAGCCACCAGATGTAGACTACGAAGGAGAGGGCCGGTGCGACATTACCTCTTGACCCTTGCACGAACATCCGCTCAAAGCCCGTCTCCAGACACATGCTTGGGCCAATTCTGTATACCTGTCACCCCGTATCGATTTCTGACGGCCCCCAGGTCCGAAGCTCGAGTAGGGGATCGACTACAGAATTGATTTACCCCCAAACTGTTTTTTCCGCCGAATCCGCCGACCCCTTGCTTGTCTGGGCGTGTGAGATTCTTCTCCCCCACAACCCCCCCCTGGAGACCCCAAACCGGCAATTTGACCCCCCCCCCCGGCCGCGGACGGCCCACCCCCGAACTCATCAGGGGCGGTCCGGGCTCCGCAGGCTCAGTCTGGAGCTCCAAGACACCCCGTCAAGCCTCCCAAGACATCCCGAAGACGGGCCGAGAGCGCCCAGACTCGCCCAGATGCCCAAGAAGCCGTGAAGACACCCCAAGAGGCCTCCAAGAGGCCTCCCAGGAAGCCCAAAAGAAGCCCAAATCGCAAAATTCCAATAAGGGGAAACATACGTTTCTAGCATATACGATTTTTCGGCCTGCGCAGCGTTAGAGAACATCCGAAAAGCACCCGAAACCGCCCCATGTCGGCCCAAAACCCGAATCCCCCAAGATGGCCCCAGAGGGCTCCAAGCCGGCCCCAGAGGCGCTCAAGGCGGCTCAAAAGTGCCCCCAGCATGCCCGAGACAAGGCCCAAGAGGGAACCTTGAACCGAAAATGAAAATCTTCCGTCCGAAAAAACCCACAGGAAACCCGAAGAAGCCCCCGAGTGGGCCCAAGAGGCCCCCCAAAGGCACCCAAAAACCCCCAACCGGCCCCCAAGAGGCTCAAACGAGGCCCCCAAACGGCCCCCAAGAGCGTTCGAAACTGCCTCCAAGAGGCTCGCGAGACCCCCGAGAGCCCCGAGGCTTCATACCCACAACCCAGGCACAGCGGCCAGATGGGCCCAAGGCCACGAAACACTTTCACGGAGTCCAGCCGTAGCGACAATGCCACCCCAGGCAGTCCGATCCACCGCCTCTATCATCATGTCCTTCCCCTGGCCCCCAAACAGAAACAACGACCAACTCCCTCCCTACCATTCCTTCATTTTCTTGTCTCCCCTGGCGCAGCCCTCGGGAAACCGCCTAGGAGCCCGGACGACCCGGGAAAAAGTCGTGAGCCAAAGAAGGGTGCTCTCGGAG